TCGCCTGGAAGCATAAAAAATCCTGTCAATATATTTTCTACATTTTTCTGATTTATTTAAGATATGCATCACAGCATGGGTTTTTTTTTGGGTGCGTATCAGATTCTTTTTTTGGTAAATTCTGCTCATGAGAATTATTATTTGTTGGTAGAATGTCATCGCTATATGGAGTGTTTTTCTCCCTTGCAGGTCCATCTTTCTCTATCTTAAGTCGTAATTTTATTGAGTTCTGCGTCCTGGGTGCAGACAACTTCCCTAGGACTCTACTGATGTATTTGTCAAACACCCCTTCTTCTCTATCCAACTACTTCCCCATCATCCTATGTAATTCACCGCAGTTTAACAGGACTGTCATAAACCACAACTTACTATATGTAACCTTCAATGACTCCTCAAAAGAGAAGCATCGCCAACTTAATTCTAAGGAATTTGATATTATGGTTGAGAGTGGAGCTGCCTTTGCCACAGAATTTCCATTTGATGATTCAGTTCTTGATCGAATTGACCGCGAAATATTGGAACGCAGTCCTGGTAAAGTTGTACCTGGTGGATGGTGCTTAGGTGAGCCTGGGAATGGTACTTGTTCAGTCTGGGGTGATGCTGATATTCTGAGACCTGGGCCAGGAGCAACAAGACTTGAAAAGCGCATAGTTGAATTGCTTTCAAACAATTGGTTCCGGTCTCACCAGTGTATAGACGAATGATATGCCGCTCATTGAGAGAAGAGAAAATGGATGGAGATTTTCCTTTTACCATTTTCAGTTTGGATGGAAGAAATTAATTTTAGCCGCCTGCCCATTATTTTTTGTAGCCACGTTTAGATGTTTAGATCATTCAATCTGAAATTATTGTAAAGTCAAATGCAGATATTTATGCTAGGATTGGAGCTGAGCTGACCCTGACCAGTGTTCTACTGCAGAACAATTTCTTTTGATACCTCTACTAGTAGAAAATCAAAGTGTATGATTGTTGTATTACTCTCACAAAGTCAAGTGAATTGGGGTTTGGGAATTCAAAGTTTCTGATTACTTATTTGGTAAATATGATAATCTCTCCCACCATTGGTTTATCAGAACATTACTTGTGTCAGATTATTATTATTATTATTGTCATTATTAGTTTTGATGGGATTTGAAACGTATGAATCGAGCTGTTTTCTCTCTTGTGGTGAAGTTATATTTTTTTGGTAATTAACATAGATGTAAATTTTATAAATAAATTGTACAGACTTACTAAATTTATCCAAAATAGCATATATTACCGATTAAACTTGAGTTCTTTTGGGGATAAACTTGAGTTTATTTGGTGCTTTCAATGTCGGTAAGAAGTTTCGATTTCAAAAATCACTGAAGTATGTTCTGATGCAGTTTGCACCCAAATGTCATCTTCTTTGCCCATTGATGGATTTATTGTGCTCCCAACAACATGTAACATCTATAGAGTAAGAGGATGAAGATGAGGCAGGTTCTGTTAGCTTGTCAAGCATCTACAATAATAATCAAAAATTAATTTTCCTTGAAGAAGGTAATAAAATTAATTGCAGCATTTTATAACACAGAAAGGAAAAAGAAA